GCACATGTGGAATGCTGGACCAAAATACCCCTGATTGGGACAGAGTCTGTGTCAGGGACAAAGTCTGTGTCAGCGACAGAGACAGTATTGTCTGGCGCTTCCAAAGAAGGAGCAGGTCTGCAATAAATGCTGCACGGTTATTTAAATAATACTCCCTCCGTTTCACAAAGAGTGTCGTTTTAAGGTTTTATTATTGTTTCACAAAGAGTGTTGTTTTAGGTTTTCAATGCAAAATTTAATGATTTTTTTATGTTTTATGACTATTAGTATTCTGCAGATTGTTTTACTATTGGGCAGATTGTGTTTAAGTATATAGGTAATGATGTTTTTGTTTAGAAAAAACAAAAAATTTAATGTTTTCTTAATCTGTGTGCAAAACTCTAAAACGACACTCTTTGTGAAACAGAGGGAGTATGTTATATCAGAGACAAATTCAGATCTAATGAGTAATATAATTAGATCATGGACAAATTCAGATCGAATGGGTGATATAATTAGATCGAGGACAAGTTCAGATCGAATGGGTAATAGAATTAGATCGGGGACAAGTTCATATCGAATGAGTAATAGAATTAGATCGGGGACAAGTTCATATCGAATTCAGATGGAATGGGTAATAGAATTAGATCGGAGACAAGTTTAGATCGAATGAGTAAGAGAATCAGATCGAATATGTTATATCGGGGACAAGTTCAGATCGAATGAGTAAGAGAATTAGATCGGGGACAAATTCAGATCGAATGGGTAATAGATATAGATCGAGGACAAGTTCAGATCGAATGGGTAATAGAATTAGATCGGGGACAAGTTCAGATCGAATGAGTAATAGAATTAGATCGGGGACAAGTTCATATCGAATGAGTAATAGAATGAGTTATAGTACTCGGGGACAACTGGATCTTTTTGTAATTTTGCAATAGAAGAAAAAAAAAATCAATAATCAGGGTAGGTGAAGACAATAATGCTCAACTAATCTGTGTACCAAAATAGATGGTGAAAAATCTAAATAAAATTCGAAACCCTTAAATGAGAACAATTGGTGGACAAGATGTGAAATTCATGATAATAGAGCAAGATGATGAAATCGGGGACAAGATCTAGACGCAACAGAGAATTTCTAATCGGAGACAAGATCTGGAGACAAAAACGAAAGTTAATTGTTTAGTCTCAGGAGATATAATGTTTCTTGGTTAAAGTGCACGTGTTTCGAGGGAGAGAGAGATAAATAGAGAAGCTAATGTTGTAGGGAAGATAAATAGGGAGGAGAGATAAATAGGGATGGGATATAATTAGGGAGGAAAGATAAAAACAGAAGATAAAAAAGGAGGGCAAAATGGCAACTCTATATCAAAATGTGGTATGAGTTGAAAAAGGGGAAGGAATGTGGTAGATTTTGAAAGAAATTGGGAATAAGTGGTAGATTTTGTAGCTTTTCCCATAACCAGGTGTTCACTTTATATTTCTTAAGTTTATAAAATTAAATTTTAAACCATTTTAAATTACTTGAAAAATGTGATACTAACGTACATCATTATACAATGGTAATCATGAATCTAACATCGATCAGCCAAGACGTTTCTACTCTTATAATACCGTGTCAACCATGAGACAAGTGTTTGATCAGATATCATCTATTGACGCTTGTCCCGGTTATTAATAGACTAGTATTTTGATTATATATGTTTTATTTATAATTTGAATTTGGTTTGCTGATTTGGTTCAAGTGTTTTTTTGTTGCATTATATATACCTTCTTAATTTCCACTTATATATATGTATATTATTGTACTTTTATTTCCTCTATATACACACGTATGTATGTTGTTTAATTATTAATAGACTTGGTTTTTTATGGCTTTGAATGGGGGACGTATAAAAGACGGATCTAGTACGGGACATGGTCGTCCACTTTCATATCTCCCATTCACAGTTTTTACTGTAATAAAATGCGTTTCGTAGAACTGCATCTATTATAGAGCAGTTCTAAGTTCACTAACGGTTCATCTGTTTTATTTATTATTATTTTATTAATTTAATATTATTTGTGAAAATTATCCAAATCCAATCAGTTAACCAAATAATTTATTATATATATATATTCTCGACCGAGATTCATTACTTTATATTTTCATCTCATATTTATTATGTATATTTTTGTAGTATTTTAAATAATCCAAAATTTTGAGTAATATATATATATATAGAAAAATTATTTGTTTTCAATATTTTAACATTTTAAGTTATTACCTTTTATCTAAAATATGAAATAATATATTAGAAAATTTAATTACTTTTGTAATATTTACATGTCATGTTATTATTTTGTATATAATAAATTAAATAATGATTTTGTATTAATAATAAAGCAATATAAAACTTAGGATGCTTTATAGTAATATACTATATATTTTGTAAAATAATTTATTTAATACTTTTTTTCTAAATCATTTTTTTATCATTTAAAAATTTGTTCCGTTCCAATTGTAATCCGTTTTTACCATTCACACATATATTTTAAAACGTTTGATCTGCTAGATCCGCTTGATACGCTCTTGTACCGCCAGATCCGCTTGATCCGCATTTGTTCTGCTTGATCCGCTTGAACCGCTTTCTCCATTCGGACCCTATATATCTGTTTTATTCTGTTTTTCTATACAAATAGTATATGATTTTTCTAGAGACTTTCTTACCGTAGAAGACAATCTATATATATAATGGGAGAGTTTCTCTCCATCTAAGGTGTTCACATCAGCATCCATGTCATCATAATTTTTTTTTTTGTGGGTTCCACATATTTATTTATTAAAACAAAAACATTAAAACTAAACTAATTCACACAGTAAATAAAAACAATAATTGACAAAAATTAAATGAAATATTATGAAAAACGAAAAAAATAAGTATACAACTTTCTATATATATAATGGGAGAGTTTCTCTCCATCTAAGGTGTCCACATCAGCATCCATGTCATCATAATTTTTTTTTTGTAGGTTCCACATATTTATTTATTAAAACAAAAACATTAAAACTAAACTAATTCACACAGTAAATAAAAACAATAATTGACAAAAATTAAATGAAATATTATGAAAAACGAAAAAAATAAGTATACAACTTAAAATATGAAATTTTTGAATAGAGATTAAATATATATAAATTAGATCATTATATTTTAACATATAATGAGTAAATATTTTAAAATAGTTAGAGATACGAAAAAGAAACTTATCATATATTTTAATGGTACAAAATTTATTTTTTAAGAGTTGCCATTATTTAGTAGAGAAAAGGAAATAAGAGTTAAAAATACCAAATTTAAAGATTTTTACTTAAAATAGAAATCAATTCATTTCTGAAAAATAGACATTTAAAATTTGAGTACCGATTAAAAAATAAGAAGAATTTAGAACATATTATTATTTATAATTATAATATAATATAAGTAGTCAAATTAATAAATTTTCTATATTATAAATGTTTTCTAAAAAAAAAAGTGAATACCTAAAGAAGAAAAACTAAATATTAATCAGTGTTTTTAGGAAATTCACATCGATTGAACAATCTAAGGGTGATTTGAAATAAAACAAAAACTATCCTAAACATCACAAATAAAAATAAAATAATCTTATCGAATAATAAAACTGTGTAATAATAATATTTGAGAATGTTATTTGGAAATCTATATATAGTAATGGTAGATTGAAGAGTTTTTCACTAGAAATAAAAATGATTTTGTTTTGTTTTTCAAAATAAATATATTTTAAAATTAGAATATTTTTTATGAGTTCGTAAGTGTCACATTTTATAAAAATAAACATTAAAAATACTATCTAAAATCATAATATATGTTAAATTATATATGTAGAAAGAGATTTTTGTATTTTTCAAATGGTCAAGATAAAGTGCAAAATTTCACGTTGAATTTCTATGTTTGTTAATAGGAATGAGTCCATATATGAGATTTGTTTTCTATAAAACAATTTTAGATGCACAAAACATGGTAAAAAACACCTTATAACAAACATCTCCTCGGATTTCTTTTCTGATGTTCACTTTAATAAAAAGATCATGAAACTTATTAAAAATTTGAGTATTGAATGATATGAAGGAGAAAATAGAAACGATCTAAGGAGAAAAGAAAATAGATGTCGGAAGACGACGAGTGAATCATAAAAGAAAACGAGAAAAATTGTAGTAAAAAATGTGAGAAACTTTTTACTACTTTGGAAAGATAATGCACATGAATTAAAGTAAAATCTTTTAAAATTCAATTGATTATAATGACAAAGGGAAAAATAAAGTTGTCTTCTTCTCTGTAACTTCGAGAGTAACAACGTTGTCATATGTTTTTCATTAGTAATAATGACCCCAATTTAAAGTAATTGCATATTTATTTTTATTAGAGGTGTAAAATGAATGTGTAAAAATAATATTTTATTAGAGCTGTAAAATGAATGTAATAAAATATACAATATTTTATTTTATAACTAATATATATTGAAATGTAGTAAAATAAACTATATTTAATTATTTTAATAATACATTAAAAAATAATTAGCATAAATATTGTGACTAAGGTATATTAATTGTAAACTAAAAATTATTAGGTTTTATGAATTACTAGAACCGGACTCGGACATACGTCCGGAGTTATGATAACATAGTAATTTTTCAGTTAAAAATTCATGTCATTAAGTGTATGTGTGTTTGTTTGAGAAACAAACTTTTATGTAAATGTGATTATATTTGAGAGGTGATATGATTGAATAATATGGTAGGGTAAACCAATAAAAAATGGTACCTAAAAAATGTATGTGCGTAGAGTATGTATTAGAAAATAGTTGGGTTTTAGAGGGTTTAAGTTTGGTAAAAAAAAATATATTTTATTCAATAGATAATAATAGATAATTTTTTTAAAATGTGTGATAATCCTTCTTAAACATGTGATTTGCTATATGTAATCGTGAAGAGAAGAAGAAAGGAAGAAAAAAGCAGAAAGAATTAGAAAATAAAAAGTTTAATTCTAGTGAAGGATGGAGTTGTCTTTTCTACATATACAGTAAATATCAAATGGTCTGAGAGAGGAACTAATTATTGAATCTTAATTGTCATCCTGTGGCCTCCGGCACAGCATTCTCAAAACTAGTCGGTCTCTCACCTCCTCTGTCCAGAAACCCGTACCTGGAATAGAGAGAAAATACATCAACTTCTTCCAACCTTTGAAGAGGCAATTCTGGAACTCCGACCAAGCAAATTAGGTGCTCAAGATCGCTATACCTGGATACCTTCAAAGACGGGAGATTATTCTGCAAAATCTGGATATCATGAAGCAAACAGGTCAAACAGAGAAACAACTCTTCAATCCTGCAACCAACAAGACTTTAATTGGATGGCAGAGATCTGGCAGATTAAAAGTGCTCCAAAAATCAAGTTCTTCCTCTGGAAAGCGATGAGAAACGCACTTCCAATTGGAGAAAACCTGTCTTTTAGAGGCATTAACACATATGCGACTTGCCCCCACTGTGGCCTAGAGGAAACTATTACTCACCTATTTTTCCTCTGCAACTTTGCTAAACAGGTGTGGGAGATTGCCCCGTTTCATCATCTTCCCATTGTAAACCTAACTACTCCTCTAAGAACGGTAATAGAGACTTCTAAGCGCCTAATTTGCCTGCCTCCAGTGGGTATAAGTGATGGCCCTCTCTTCCCATGGATCCTATGGACAATTTGGACCTCCCGGAATAAGAAGATTTTTGAAAATCGACAGGCCACGGCTCCGGAGGTAATCTCTCAGTCTATTGCTCACGCCAAAGAATGGCTGCTTGCCGAGAGACAGTATCTCCGACTCGCACCCAAAGAGTCCCGATTGAGACTTCTGAGTATGATCTCGAGACAATCCGGGTCTTCTCGGATGCCTCCTGGCGAGCTGAGTCACACGAAGCGGGTTTTGGATGGTTATTGATCGATCACTTGGGGAAGAAAGAGTTCCAGGGCAGATCTACGGCCAAGAACATTGGAACCCCCCGTGATGGCGGAAGCAAACGCCCTTCTCCTCGCAATCCAACACGCTTTGGACCTTGAATTCACAAAAGTCTCTTTTGCTTCAGATTCGCAGATGCTAATCAAAGCAATCAATAGAGGAGCTCATCCAATTGAGCTCCATGGGATACTCCACGATATCCTATCTCTATCTTCTAGCTTTTCGCAATTTAGTTTTTCTTTTATCAATCGTGAAAACAATCACCGAGCAGACCTCCTTGCTAAGTCTGTTTTTGGTGTAAACCCTTTGTATTTCCCTCAATCGTAATCTAATGAATTCCCCTTTGACTAAAAAAAAAAAAAAAAAATTTTGTCATCCTGTATAGATATTCTTGATAGGATCTACTTTAGTGGTCAACAGTTTAAAATGTTCTATACTAATAAGTTTGAGGTTCGATTTTAGAAAGTGCACTTTCTTACAAATTAATGGATGCAAAGCTTATCAAAATTCTACATGTTAGCTGGTAAAAAGTCGAGTCCTGCCATCGTAGATTAGGGATGAATTTGTTTATTGTGGCCGTGTGTTAGCTGGTAAACGTTCCGATGATCTATGACTCAACAAAGGCAACTCGAAAACTATTTGGGAATCAAGTTCCAATCATCAGATATTAAACAAAAGACAATAAATGTTTTAAAAATTTATATTAATAAAAAAAAAACTGTTTTAACAAATAGTGAAGTAGCAAATTCGTTTTTCGTTTTCCGTTTTGACCACTAAGCCTACTAGCTAGTGGTCAGCATATCCAATATATATTATAAAACTAATACTATACTAATTAAAAATGACATAACATTAGTGGACTATGTGGAATTTTGAATCTTCTATTAGTATTTTTCATTTATATATATTTACTGATTTACGTCAAGAAACATATTTTTTTTTGGTAGGATACGTCAAGAAACATATGTGATGACTCTTAAAGATCTTAAATGTAGTTATTATGTTTTTGACCATAATAACTGTATTTTTCTTTTCTTTTTTCTTAAGGATCAAGATACATTTTTGTTTTCTTAAGAGAGTTCGACCATTCATCACTGTATTTGTCCAAAAAAAAAGAAAAAAAAGAAAAAGAAAAAAGAGAGTTCGACCATTCATCACTGTATTTTTTTTTTGTGCGTTTTAAAGTATATAATACTGTGTTAATCTGGTTGAGTAACCTGCCTAAGACACAAAAACTACATAACGATTCCGTAAAAAATCCAAGAGGAATCAACCATACATGTCATTTATAGTGGATTTATTGGGATAATGTATGACACTCACATCATTAAAGTCAAGCCACGGTGTTTTTTTGGGTCCAGAAGCGTTTTACCGCCAGGGCCGGTCGTGAAAAAATTCGGACCAAATACAAAATAAAATAGAAGTCTTATAATATAATTATATTTTTAATTTTTAATATTATTATATAATTTTTATATTAATTTAATTATTATAATTAATAAAATGCAGAATTCACATTAAAGAAATTAGTTTTTTACTTTTTTCTAACTACATTTATTTAAATATACTATGTACTTACATATTAAAAAAAAAAATCATAAAATAGGTTCTCCGAACAATTATTTCATGTGGCTACCTTCAGGGCCCGCCATGTTCGCTGCACAAGGGATTATTCTAGGCATGTGAGTTCGGAATTAACCGATCAAACCAACAATTACAGTTATCGGCGTAGACCGAAAAGAGAACTCCAAACCCTTTGGCAAAATTAATTTGAGGAATCGGACGTCGGTTCGGGTCGGTTCAATATTCGGGCCAATCTGTTTTATCTAAACCGAGAATCTTCAGCCATATATAAGGCTAATGAGTCATTAACCCTAATTTAGGATGTTATTGGTTTATTAATTTGTAAATCCATAAAGGATTTGGAAATATCTATTAATTATGAAATCAATATATATGAATTTTGAAATAACATGTGTTTACCGATGAATTTGAATCTTTCTATTTTTCTCTTTCAATTCCATACAAATCCATTTAAAACATAGGAGGGGTTATTGGTTCATGGATTTATAAAGAATTAGAAATCCAAACAAAAATCATTTGTTATTCAATCATGGGCTGCCTGCAGCAATCAACCTGTAATATATGCGCTCAACTAGGATCACCCTGTACTTTCGACATCTACCCAATTCACCCTATATTTTTTCTTCTTCTTCCTAATTCCACCTAAACTATAAAATTCTATTCAATTAACCAAATTCAATTAATCTCTGAAATTGCGATTTAAAATCAATAATTCGCATTCATTATTTCGTGATTTTGAATACACCAGAGTTTCAAAATTTCTCAACAACATGTCAACAACACATTGAAAAGCTTAGCCGAGTCAAGTGTTATTGATTTTAAAATAATTGATTAAAATATAATCATTGATTTTAAAATCTTAATTAAAATCATGTGTTATTGGTTCTATGATTTATAAATACTAGTTAAAATCCTATGTTATTTGTTTAGTCATTTGTTTTTGGATTTGAGAATCCAAATTATGTTTTAAATGGATTTGAATGGAATTGAAAGAGAAAAATAGAAGGATTCAAATCTATGGGTAAACACATGTTATTTCAAAATCCATATATCTTGATTTCATAATTAAAAGAAATTCTCAAATTCTATATGGATTTACAAATTAATAAACCAATAACACCCCCATAATTTGGATTCTCAAATCCAAAAACAAATGACTAAAAGAATAACATAGGATTTTAACTAATATTTATAAATCATACAACCAATAACACATGATTTTAATTAGGATTTTAAAATCAATGATCGAATAACAAATGATTTTTCTTTGGATTTCTAATTCTTTATCAATCCATGAACCAATAACCCCTAGTTTCATTTTCTTCTTTGGATCTGCCTCTGCGGCTCTACCTCTTCCAAAACTCAAACAGAGAGTTCATCTTCTTCTTCGACCTAATCCATAATCAGTATAACGTTTCTTCTTCATCATCAATTCATCATCTTCTACATGCTTTATTATTCTCTTCTTTTTTTTTTCTCTTTAATCGTTTATTCGTGTGATTCTTTGTTGTTTGTTCGCTAAGCTCTTCCATATCACTAAAAATCTCAGCTGGATTTACGGATTTACGGGTGACTCTCTAGATCTTACTAATCTTCTTCGGAATTTCAATTTTTATACTTTTATTTTTCTAACTTTCTCAATTTAGATGATTGATTGCATGTGGTTACAGTTATGATATCTAATAGATCTCGTCGGTGATATATTTTTTTGCAGTTGGAGAGATCAGCCGTCTCCGCCCGTCGATGCTTCGTCACTGTCAACAAATGTGTCGAAAACCCTAATTTTTAATGGGTTGGGCTGTAAATTTGTTAATTTTAATTGGGTTTGTAATTTTTTTAATGCATTTAAATGATTATTATGGGTTTGGGCTTTGTTTTTTTTAGCCCATTATTCATATATTTTTTGTAATTCGGTTAAAATAAACCGACACAGGAAAAAAAATCAATTTAATTCGGAATTATTTTAAACCTTATAACCGAACTGAATAACCCGAGTACCGATTGATCCGAACCGAATTTAATTTTGGTTCAATTCGGGAAGATTTTTCAAAAACTGAATTTTCCCAAAACCGAATAACCCGACCCGAATAACCCGATTTCACCGAACTCTCAGGCCTAGATTATTCCCGTTTGGAACTAATATCAATGAAGATTTTATTCACTTGTAAGTTGTAACTATTACATTGGGATACCAAAAATTGAATAAAAAAACAAATTAATCGTTTTCCAGCATGTGCAATTCGAATTCTGTTCTAATTATAAGAAAATTTCAACTTAGGAAAAATTTTAAATATTTTCTAAAACCTGGAACTAAAAAAAATTGTAACCCATCAAAATAACATTAATTTTCTTTAAGCCAATCCATTTTCAGTTGAGACTATTCTCTTCCTTGCCTTCTCAGCCTGCAAATCATAGATTCCAACTACTTCAGATTATTCATAAAAAACATAATGTACAAGTGTAACAAGCTCTAACCTGTTCCTTCCAATTTATGGACGCTGTGACGAAAGCCAATATAGTGGCTTGCACCGCGGATCCAACCATAACACCGCACCAAAGTCCTTTTCCGTTCCACTCAAGACTGAAAGCTAAGTAAACTCCAACAGGAGCTCCTACGAGATAATAAGCCACAACGCTGATCAAAGCTCCAATGTGTTGCCACCCACATCCCCTAGCAACCCCATTTAGAACTGCGGTAAATCCGTCTAGGATGAAGGAGAGACAGAGCAAATATGATATGTCAGCCACATAGTCAACAACTTCTTTGCTGTTGCTGAATGCGTAGCCTACGATGTTTCGGCAGGTGAAGAGAAGTGTGCTAAAGAAAGTTGATTCTACTATCCAGAGACAAAGCCCTGCCATTACGGAAACCCTAGCAACTTGAGGATTGCCAGCTCCCAATTTGTTTGACACACGTGTGCTGCAAGAAACCAAATGACTCGCAATTGATTGTTGTATACTTGTATATATAATACTCCCTCAGTATCATTTAAGTGATATTTTAAGAATATTTTTTTATTTTATATTTTCTATGCAAAAATTAGAGAATATTGTCTTATCTACCACTTTTGAGAAAAAAAATTTCAAATCTACTACAATTGAATTCACTTTTTTGTGGTATTTTATTGATGATTTTACCCCTAAAAAGTAAATAAAAAAATGACAATTTTGTATCAGAAGGACAGAGGACAAAAGTGTTGCATTAGATGCAGTTTACATTTACCATGGACAATAATTATGAAATATAGTGAATGATGTCTTCCAAAAGTAAGTCCAGATTTCTAACTGGTAAAAGCACACCATATGGCGAGGGACAACCATCATATCCTGTTGTCCTCGAATTTAACAAAGTGTTGAATTTTAAAAAGATTATATAAAGAGTAATAGAACTTGTCCACAATCTAATTATATTACTCTTTCCACATGGCATATCCCCCAAATATTTACATGAGTTAGTTTTCACTTTTCTTCAAAACATTAATACTATTATTGGGAACAAGTTTAGATCGAATGAGTAATAGAATTATATCGGGGACAAGTTCAGATTGAATGAATAATAGAATTAGATCAGCGACAAGTTCCAATCGAATAAGTAATAGTAGATCGGGAACAAGTTCAGATCGTCATTTTGCCTTTTTGGAAATTATTTTAATGGTCGGATTCAATGAAGATGAAGGAAGAGAGAGGTAATATATTTAGAGAGAGAAAGAAAGAGAAAAGAAGAAATAAAAAGAAGACAAAAAAATAAAAATGATATAATAGTATAAAGTAATAAAAATAGATTTGAGGGTAAATTAGTTTTTTTGTTTGGCAAATATGGTAGATTTAGAAAGGTGAAGGGAAAAGTGGTAGATTTGAAAAGAATTTGAAAAATGTGGTATATCAGTATATGTCATAGTTTTCCCAAAAATTAAATGTCTTAATTTTTTGGGAGACTCACAAAAATGCCCATTTTTCAATACCCCTTTTCAAAAATGCCCTCTTAGGCTGTCCATTTTTAAAAAATACCCCTTTATGTACAAAATGACTAAATTACTCTTTTTTTAATAAAAGATATCACAAATATATAAGGAAAACATGAGAATGTGCACACATCAAAATTACAAATTTGATTTTGTAAAAACTTGTAAAACCTTTAAAATACCTTGTAAAATTTTTCCCTAAAAATTTTTTCCGCCAAAAATTTTTTTTTGCGGGAAAAGTGATTCCGCAATTTTTTTGGTGCTAAATTTTTGGCGGGAAAAATTTACAAGGTATTTTAAAGGTTTTTTACAGGGTATTTATAAGGTTTTACAATGTATTTTAAAAGGTTTTACAACGTATTTATAAGGTATTTATAAGATATTATAAGCTATTACAAGCTATTTTATAAGGTTTTACAAGTTTTATATAAGGTTTTACAAGTTATAAATGTGGATGTCGGATTCACACACTCAAGTATTTTTGTTAATAGGGAAGATTATTCTTGAGGGACAAAAAATAAGAATGTAAAAAGCTTATGAACTGCTACAAAAATTGCTATAGTATTTATTCCTTCCAAGAAAAGGTCCCCTTTACATGGCCATTGGCCTTTATATTTATACATAGAGAATCGACATTAAAATGAATAATTAAGTACAATTATTCCCTCTTAAATGTGTCCGTTTTGATTCTTTGACTATAATGCTCAATGTTTGAATTTGAGTTGACTCTGATCTTCATGGGCCTCGCCTTTTGGCCCAAGTGTCCTTGAACCGACTTACCCGTGTCTTCTACACCGAACTCATGTCGAAGAGCAGTCACTTCGGATTCTCGAAGTGGTGATAACCACTTCGACCGTTCCTTCGGCTCACGGGTCCAATGGGCTTTATCCTTTATGGGCCATTATCTTGACTACGTGGCAATCTTTGGTTGGTCTCGGACCTCTGGTGCGGGATCCGACACCAACAATTAGCCCCCCAAGTTCTTCGAAGTGCTATTCCAATTCGGAGGACTTTAAATGCTCAAGTGACCAAAGATTGCGCTCGAGAATCTTTCTGATTTCCCGCCGAAAATCTCATCACTCCTTTAATTTCGGCACTAGCCATTTTTTAACCGAGTGACATCTGTCATCATTATGACCGTATATTGATTAATTACTATTAAAACGGGAAAAAACCTTCCCACTCCCCACACAACTTCCGAGGCGGTTCCATCATTTAGCTTGTGTAAGGTAACTTCTTTTCATCATCATTTTCTACTTTTACGCTTTAATCGAAACTCCTCTCTTCTCTTTCTTCGCCGATTTTCTCTTTGCCGAAACTTGAATTTTTCATTCCTCCCAATGACTTCTGATTCCGATAGACCCAAGTCTCCGTCTTTCGATGAAAGGCGTTCTAGTAATGACGAGTGCACCCGCCCTAATGATATTGCTGGTCCGCACTACAGAACCACCTGCACCCTTCAATCTCTCGAACGATTGAGGGAGCTCTGCCGAATTCCACCGGGAATTATGGCGGAGGCGCAGATAGCCGATCCCACAGAGTCCCCAGAAAGCCACCGCGACGGCTATTTCTGTGTATATGAGATCTATTTTAAAGGTTGCGGGCTGACCTTTCCCCTTCCCGAAGCCCTAGTTCGATACCTAACGGCTCTTGAAATTGCTCTTCCTCAACTAACTCCCAATCTTCTTCGAACTATTCTCGGAATTATAACAATCGCGGCGGAGGCCGGATATGTTATCGGAGTCACTGAATTAAATGAGCTTCTAAGCGTAAGAAGTTCATCGAAGAAGACGGGATATTTTTCAGCGTATCCGAACGCTAATAGAAACATCATCTCGCACCTTCCGAACAAGGATGAAAATTGGCACCATCCTTGGTTTCTGATTAAGAAAACTCCCGCTTCGATTGGAAATCTTGCAGATTTACTCCCATCAAAGTGGTCTGCGAAGCCTGGTAGAGATTAGGTCGCATATATCTTTTCCGGTTGTTTTATTATCTTTATTGACTAAAACCGTTGTTTCATTTCGCAGCTTTCGTCGCTTCCACTCTCCCATCTGAAGAGTTCATCGAATTCTTCAAAATAATTCTCGAAGGGGAAACCCTTTGGAATTCTTTCACTCTTGAACGATTCCTAGAAGCAAACCACAGACTCAGGATGAGTCCACCGGGTCAACTTCACCAACTTCCGCCTCCTCCCTCAACTCAGGGGATGTCATCTCGGGCCCTTGCGGCCAAGCGTAAGGTGCTTTCCAAGCCGATGGCTGAGGCTTGCGAGGAGAAGAAAAAGTTTCTCGCGACTTCTATAGACAAGAAGGACTACAATAGGACCCTGCTGGTTGATGATGGCAGCACCGAAGGAGCCAGATCCGTCGCTTCTTTCAGATTAACTCCTCGTCGCGATCGTCGTGACTCACGTTCTCCTCGGAGGGACCGATCTCCTCGCCGTGATTCACCTCGTCCTCCCTGAGATGATTTTAGTAACGAACCACTTAAGAACTTGGTTTGTCGGAAGAGAGACAAGTCCTCTCCTAGTGATTCTTCCCCGCGGAGGGAAAAGTCAAGGGCCCGGACTGACCGTTCACCTCGATCATCCCCTCCTACTGAACCAATGGGTCCTCCACGACCGGTTGATATGTCTTCCTCTTCCCAGCCTGACAGTGAAAAGACTGCCCGGAGCGCATCTCCAAAAAAGGGAGATTCTGAATCTCGAGATGCTTCCTCGAGGTTAAAGCCTGCTCTTGTCCCTCAAGTCAAATCGCTTTCAGGTTTGGTGATTCATACAGTCTTAAAAGTTTTTGTCTCTATTCAGATTCCGATTTTTACAACTCTTCTTCCTTCGCAACTATGGAGAAGGAAGGCAGCGTTTTCCGATGCTTCAAGACCCGATCGGGTTTGATCTTGCCAGACTTCGACAAGTGGTGCCCTGCGATTCGTGAACGCTATTTGCTTCATGCTCATCATTCATCCCGGGTTAGTTCCGCTTTAATTTTCCGATTATGCTGCCGTTCATCGAAATGACTCACCATCCCGATTTCGTGCATAATGGTAGGCTAACGGTGAACTTAATGACATGATTGAACATTATGAGGGGCTGGTCCTTGGTCGGGAAAAGGAGATTGACGCGTGGAAGAAAAAACTTTCTGCTCTTGAGGCTGAACTAAGCTCTTCTACCGGCTCCAAGCACGATCTGGAGGACAAGGTCGACAATCTAACATCCGAGCTGGCAAAGATAAAAGGGGAGCTGCAGGACCAGTACGACCAGAATTTCAAACTCCAGGATGAGCTTTCTGGTGTTCAGGGTAGGCTTCACGAATCCGAATCAACCGCTGATTCCCTGAACAACCAACTTATTGAGCTTAACGCGAAGTACAAGGCGATCGCCAAATTGCGTGACTCTGAGCTGGCGAAGTCGGCATCGAAGGCCAGAAAGGAGGTTAAGGGACGTGGGATGGAGTTGATCCAAGGAGCCATCCGCTTCATTCAAACCGAGAAAGCTAGGTCAGATCTGGAGTCAGACATCAAGGAGCATGAGAGCAATCTGATTTTGTTGGATCAAATCCATGAAACAGATTTCTCCGAGGTACAAGAGAGGACCGAACTATCGGCTAATCTTTCTGAAAAGCGGAGTCGCTTGGCAGCTCTTCCTACTTCGACCTTCAACCCGCATGACTTCGAGGAATTCTTCACTGAATCGCCTCCTATAAGTGAATCGGGTCTAGATTGGGCAGGTAACGCTTGGCTCCTGACTCTTACTACCTTTTCCTCACTTTATGTTTTTTAAAACTGACTGGAACCGTCCTTCCCAGGCCCAAGTGAGACGGAAGATGTCATCCCACCCGAAGTTCTTGTGACATCGGAGGTCACCCCGGAGGATGGTTGTACTGTGGAGGGCGGATCAAGAGCTCCATCTGACCAAGCACCAGCCAAGGAGGCGAATGAAACTCCAACTGTCGAGCCGGAGTCCG